CTCGGCTTTCCTGAGGGTAGGGTGAGGCTTCCCTGGAATGGCAGCTTGGGACCCCGCGCCAGGGCCTCCGAGAAGCCCCTGCGAAGAAGCATCTTTGCTCTGTTTCAGGATCGCTGGTGACACGGCCCTCAACAAGAACATACACGAGTCTGTCAGCGCCCAGATCCGGAAGAACTTCGCCAAGAGCAAGTGGAGAGTAAGTTGAGTGTGTGAAACTCCCGGTTAGCGAGGCCACTCTCCTGACGCTGGCTCTACAGTTTGGCCATTTCTTATTTCTAAAGGTCACCGTCACCACGAGCTTGGACAAAAGTCCCCAGAACCTCACCCAAATAATTTTGCTAATTTTAACCAATGATAATTAAGACTTGGAGATAGTATCGCTGTGTAAGAAGGATGGAGTGTGTGATTAAGTGTTTCTCCTCTGTGGTTCAAAAATAGCAATAGAGCCAGTTCTGTTTCATTTGATTTCTTAAGCAGCATAATCCCTTTTGTCTTTCTTCACCTTGCTAGAACTTTGAATAGTTGAATTTCATAAAGGGATATGAAGGGAAAAAACAGGAAATCTGAATAGAACTCATCGGGGTTTCCTGGTAAAAATTTGACAGATGTCCACCCTAGAGGTTTCGTGATCATCTGTTGGTATCTAGCCTCTGTGTTCTAGTCAGCGTGAGTTATTCAGAGCTGGCCGTTTTGCTCTGAGAGCCAGCAGTGAGAAACGGCTCAGAAACAAAGCCAGTTAGTTCCATGGACCTGCTTTATTCAGAGGAAGTGCCATTATTTCAGACAAATCATAGGAAAATAAAAACTATTTTAAGTCATCACTTTTTAAGGTTATTTTGCTAGGCCTTTTAGTCTAAAGTCACTAATCTTAAATTACAGAATCGTTTTACATTGATTCTATATACTTATGATGTCAGAAGAAAATTTATTTAAATCTCCAAAATATATTCTGTTGGGAGGGTGTTAAATAAATGTGTGTACTTTTGGAAGAAGGGACTGCATACGTTTTCTTTTTAGGCTAGCATGAGAGTGATTTAAAAAGTTTGAAATGCTCAGGGTAACAGGAGTCGTTTCTAATTAGCTGAAATATTTTGTGTGTTTTTCCCTCTCTTACATTTCAGCAAGCATTTAATGCCACGGCCGTCGTGAGACATATGAGAAAACTCCATCTTGGCAGCAGCCTGGACAGTTCAAATGCAAGTGTTTCGAGCAGCCTCAGTTTGGCCAGCCAAAAAGATTGTGCGTATGTAGCAAAAACAGACTTCTTTAGCTGGCCCTGAAGACGAACCTGGGATGGAGAGAAGGGCACAGTCCTCTGCTGAGCACCTGCTGTCTGCCAGGCACTTTGAGTACTTATCTAGTCTCACAGCAGCCCTCAGACGTTTTTACATATGCAATCACTTAGCTAACTCAGAGTCCTAGGTATCGCTGCTTCCGTTTCTAGATGCAAAATGGCTTCAGTTCCACAAGGCCGTGCCTGTCTAGATAAAGGCACAGACGCCTTCTGAGCTGCCTCCATGCGTCTAACTCCCTCTTACTGTGCGGTCACGTTCACAGATTGAGGGGGGGCTGGCCTGATGCTGCTGGTTTCCAGTCTGTCTATTTTTGATGCAGATTGATGTGAAGTGCATTGGCTTTGAAGTGAAAGTATTTCATATCCTTCACCTATTCTTGGACAGGCCACCCTTGGCCTCGCTGTGTTTATCGTAGTCTCCTGCTGGGCCCTCGCAGTGGGTCCTCTCCACCTCAGGGCAGTGACCTTGATCGTCTCCATTGACCTTCAGCTCCCTCACCTCACCATTGGCCTCACCCTAGGCCTCACACTCCTTCCCATTTGGCTCAGAAAGGGTTTCCCTTCCTCCGTAGAGAGACGTCCCATCTCATCTGGGACTGTCCAGCCCTGAAGTTTTCCCCAGGAATTTCCATGACCTTCCCCAACCCAGTCGCACACACAGATCCACATTCACACTTCAGTCCTTTCCACCCTCTGGTCAAAGGTTGCTGCACAGCTGATCACACAGACACACAGACATTCACACACAGACAGCGACAGCAAAGCCCATCCTAACAATGTAGTTTCTGGATCTCCCTGTATCCCAGTGAAGAGATTCCCTAGGAGGGTTCCCTGGGGGGCGATCAACAGGAGCTAGTCCATCCTCCACTTGGGGGGCGGTTAGTGCAGCTTGTGAGGAAGCCTCTAGGCCAAGGGCTGCCAAGTCCACACAGGAATAAGTGAACATCCTGGTTTCAGATGCTCTGTGTCACGAAAAGCTTCTTAGCCAAGGGTGCAACAACCCACCAACCAGGGGTCGGGTGTGGAGATCGGATCCTCTCTTGAGTCTTAAAATACCTACTTCACGGAGCTGTTGTAAGACATGAACAGCTCTCATGACAGCATGTGTTCACCACCCAGCCCAGCACCTAGTGCCTTGTGCGTGCTCAGTACATAGAGCCTATATTTATAATGAAAAAGGTTATATTTATCATGCGAAAGGAGAAGCGTGCTGGGTGTAGGAACAAAACCTCTGAACACAGTCCCCACAGGTAGGTTAAAACGTAGAACCGTGTGGGTGAAAGTGTGGGCGCCCCACAGACCCCGCCCATCTGATGCCTTGCGGTGGGAAGGGGAGGTGGAAATTTGCTTCTGAACCTCTGAGCCCTGTTTCCACTGTTCCCTGCAGGTCTGGCACCTTCCACGCTCTGTAGTTTCATTTCTTCTTCGTCGGGGGTCTCAGGAGTCGGAGCTGAGCGGAGACCCAGGCCCACCACTGTGACAGCAGTGCACACTGGAAGCAAGTGACTGGCTCTGGAGGGGGGCCCGGGGCGGGGCCAGGGAAGGGGAGCCCCGGGTGCCGGGCCGCGAGCCACTCCAGCGAGACCCCACCTTGCATGGTGCACTTTCCTGCATAGGACTGGAAGACAGAAGTTTTTTATGGCCATATTTTATACTGCAACTCTGAAGTGTTCATTTCTCATACACTGAACTGACTTTCAAGGGGAGCTGATTGATTAGGATCTGGTGCTGTACATAGGAACCTGCAAAGCTCTAGCTGAATGAACTTTCTTCTTCCTCTCCCAGCTCCGCCGTGTCCTCTCTTCGCAGCGTAGGTAACCGTCTATGGTGTATTTTTTCACTAATGACAAACAAAGGTTTCAACTGGATTATTTAAATATTGGTAAATATTGTGCATTAGGGTTTGCTTTATTTCCTTTTCAGAAAAGTCTGTCCTTTGACTCTCAGTTACGTGGCATATATCTTTTGCTCTTTAATAGTAGTTTTATGTCAACCTTCAAGAGATTTTTTTCCTCTGAGGGGAATTTAAAGGTATTTTTAAAAATCCTAACAAGAGGATGGAGAGCCTATCTCCAAGGCTGGGTGTGCACTCTGCTTCTGTTCCTTCTGTCTTTCTCCCCTCCCTGGGAGGGCGGTTGTCCCCTAAGAAGACACCTCAGCTGTTCTGCAGAGCTGTCGTCTCTCCAGGGTGGCCTTGGGAGGGAACCCGCAGAAAACTTTCCCCAGCAAACCCTAGCCAACCGGAGACCGGGAGGCCTCCAGCCTTGGCAGTCATGAAGAAAGAACCCTCTCCCTGAGGCCCGAGGCCAGTCTTCCTAGGCCACACTTGCCGTAAATGAGAGGCCCACAATGCAGAGATTCAGGAGCCTTCTTGCAGAAGGAGCAAGCTGCTGTCTTGTGTAAGGTGAACCCACACACAACCCTCATTTCTCACAGGAGGTAACAGATGAAAGTCTGGTCTCAGCTATGCAGTTTTAAAATTAATCTCTTTCTCTGTGTTTTTTAAAAAATGTGTTTCTAATCTTACACTTACAAGTTGTCTCTCCACATTTTTACCCTATTCTTACATGTTTTCTGAGGGAAGGGAGGGAAACAGCCCTGGAAAAGAATCCACTTGTGGCAGTAAGGAGAGGTGGCCTGCCATGCGAGCTGGACACTGGCCCCCATGGAGGTGGCCAGAGACGGCCTCAGCTGGGCCCAGCTATGCTTGAAGCCATCCCTCTGATCAGGGGAGTCTAAAGCAAAGATCTGTGGTGGTGGAGTCACCAGATAGCCCAGCTCGCCTGGGGCTGAAGGATTTCCTGGGATGTGGGACTTTAAACGCTGAAACCAGGACATCCCAGGCAAGCCCGGCCACGGTGTTCACCTGCATGGTGGAGGGCTGTGTGGGAGACTGAGGCAGGGTGCGGCCCGGGGCTGACCGTACTTGTGCTCCAGAGGGTAACAAGGAGCCCGTCCTGCAGAGCTGGGCCGGAGGCTCCAGGGCAAGCTTTGCCGAAACCTTCCCTCGGTCCCCAGACCCAGCCAGCGCCCACTCTGAATCCCAGTCAGCCTCGAGCCGATGAGGTGTCTCGCAGCTGTGCTTGATGGCCCAGCGACTGCTGGCTGCCATCCTCAAGCCCTCGTCCTACCACTGGCCAGTCTCGAGACCTCTTGTTGGTCGAGCCACGCTTGTCACTTCCATGCCTTTGCCTACGTCCAGGCCGAACATTGGGTGATGCCCCCCGGCCCTCCCTGGCACACATGCGCGCACGTGCACACGCACGCGCGGATACACACACACACACACACACACACACACACACACACACACGAAGAGCTGTGTTAAGCACCGCAGCTGCCTCCGCCCTCCCTGAGGACAGCAACACAGGCATGCATTCAAACCGCTGGGAAGACAGGCAACTGATCTACCCTGTCCCCTCACACATCCCAGGCATTCGGCTGCTTCTCAGGAACCCTGTGCAGTGGCTGCCACACATGCACGTAGGGCCACAGATCAAGCTGTCCCTCTTCCAGATCTGTACAAAGCCCAGACGAGCCTGCGAAATGACCACAGGCCCAGTTAAGAAGAAAGTGTCCCCAGCAGAAGGAAAACGAACCAACATTATAAACAGCGGAGCCTCTCCAGAGGCTGCTGAGGGTGTCACTTACTAGTAGGTGCTGTGAAAACATCCAGGTTCATTCGGGATAAGAAAGGTGGATAGAACTGTGGGGTGACAGTTTGCCTGAGTCAGTGCCTGTGACACGTGCACGAGCAGCTATAAAGAGTTCTCTGTGCCATGAGCTGTACAGTCACCTGCATTTAAAAAGGAACATTTATAGCCAGAGTCCACTGTTGGTGATGGAAATACTTTCTAGAGCCAGTGCATGTCATATGCAGTTGGCCTGGAGGTGCCTCTCATCTGGAGAGTGCAGCCCTGGGGCCAGGGCTTGGCTGTGCTTGGCCTGTGGGTCTCAGTAACATTGTGCGAGGAGATGGTGACTGGTCTTAGCCCAAGCATGAACTCTGCTAGACATGCCATCAAGAGGGCCATCCTGTCTGGGTGCCACCAGGCTCAGATTATTTCCTGCTTCTAGAAAGGGAAGAGCTTTTGCTCTTTTGAGAGAACCTTTGTGGTAAAAGGCAGAGGCTGTCTTTCAACTTGGGATGATGGTTTCATTACAAAGCGAGAAGGGAACCCAGAATGTCCCTTTTGTGAAGGCCTGGCCGATGGCATGGTACAGTCCTGGGACCCCACGGGTGGCAGATCCCACTAGCAGGAGCTGAGCATTTCACACGTGCACCTAGCCTGCTGAGCGGAGGCCAAGGGTGGACTTCTGTCCCGACAAGCCCCCACTGGGTCACTTGCTCATCTCAGCAAGCAGGTTGTTTTTCTCTTGCCTGAGTATTAAACTATGAATTAGCAGCCTAGAGTGGTCTTTCCCTCAGCTGCCTGACTGTCCCTCCCTGGCTTCCCCACCCTTGTCTCATCCGTGAGGCAATAAGAGAAGCTGCCGTTCACTGAGACCCACAGCGGTGGGCACCTCAGTCAGGCGCTGACGATGCGGCCTGTCACTCTTAACCAGGGTGGCCCTGGAGTCTGGGCGGCTCTCTGCACCCCCACAGCCCTGCTCCCCAGTGGGCACATGGGTCTGAAGCCTGGGACTGGGTGGGGCCTGCCAGGGAAGGGCGCCCAACCCCATGAGGCCTGTGAGGAGCAGGGAGGCCGCTCTGCTAGACAGAGGCAACTCTGGGCAGCCTGGCTCTCCCAGGGGCAGGGCTGGTTCTCTCCTGCCCCTGACTCCATAAGAGAATAGAAAAGGTCATCTCCCCGATCAGATCTCTTTAAAGAAAAGGACATTCAGAAAGCCCACCAAAGGAGAAGTGCAAGCATGGCTTAGCATTCTCGACCGTGGTCACGATTCCAGTCACTTCTAAGATCTCACCTTGAGAACAGGAGCAACCCCTGTCCCCTTCCCTGCCTGGCACAGAAGCCTGTGACCATTGAGAGAGCTACACTCTCCACTGACTCTTAGCGTAGTGTCTGGGGACCTGGCAGACAGGCTGGAGCAGAAGATGCCCAGAGCTCAACAGGCAAGACTTTGGCTCTGGGGAGACACTAGCGTCTGACAGAAGGAATTTGCCATAGCCCCAGACACAGTTTACTGCCCAGTACTAGTCTCATCCTATCCACTTGTCGACCGTAGTGTCCAGCATGTCCTGGGTGAATTGTCGGGGGAGGACTCCCCTTCAGAACACGAGGACGCAGGGCAGGGAGGCCAGGTGACCCCTCCTGAGGTGGGTGGGTCCTCGCCTCCATGAAAGGACAGCTGACTCTGATGAACTCCCTAGGGTTTGGCGGTTATGAGCAATTTTAAAAAGAAAGGAGGATATCACCGTGGAGGTGGAGTTATTTCTTAAGCTTCGACCATGGTCCCTGGGTCTCCCAGAGCCTTGGCCAGAGTTGATTCTTCATGGTGGGGAAGCCACACTACAACTCTTGCTCCAGGGCCTCAGAGAGAGGATGGGGCTGCCTTGGACGGCCCCCACAGGGCACCGCCGGGGTTGCTCTGGGCATGGGTGAGGAAGACAAGGGCAGCGGCTCCCATTTCCACAAAGAAGATGTTCCCTTTCCCAGTTGGCACCATCACTTCTGACATGTGGGTGGAGGTCCTCTGGCCAGCCAATGCACGACCCCTTTGCATGTTCCTCTGACACTTCACCCCCTCTCATTTTGCCACCCACACTCTGCAAATTCTGCCTTTTCCTTAAACACATTCCAGACCACACACTGTTCAGTTGTTTCCCCAACAAAAAAAATGTATATACCTGTACGTAACCCACACTCTGCCGGTGGGTAACTGGTCTTGGGTCGGGGCTGCAGGTGTGCCTGACATCTGCAAAAGGTGTTCCAGGCCTTCGATGTTCCGCATTGAAGATGTAGAGACAGAAAAGCTGAACTGGGAAAATAGATTCCTTAAGGGGGACTTATTTCCTGGAGACTCCGGGAAAGTGTGCAGATGAGTTGGCCTGACGACCTCAGCTGTGGGGAGTAGGCAGGTCTGAGGAAGAGGAGCACAAGGAAGGACCCCGGGCCCGCTCGCCTGGCACTTCCTGGAGGGTCCAGGTGGCTCATTGCAGGCTGCAGCCCTGCGCATGTGCAGGGCCCAGCCCCACTGTGACCTGCGTGCTGGCCCAGGCCGGCCGCCGCTGATGCCTCCAGAAGCAGCAGGAAGGATCAGCCCTTCCCGGCTCCCCTGCCACCTCCAGCAGGAGCAGCTCAGCGTGTGGCTCTGGGTGCTCCGCTTCCGCAAACCCCAAAAGGCTGCGCATTTGGAAGCCAACGCTCAGCATGTGGCTGCCGCGTCTGGTTCTGTGGACCAAGCAAACCATGGAATGGCTTCTCGGGGTGTGTCTCTGCTCCAAGGGGACAAACTACCGTGCCACCCTCTGTACTAACGCCGCTTCTGCATCCGCCATGTCCTGTTTTTAACCCTTTTGTCTCCAGAGAACTTCTCATGTGATTATCACGTCTTCTGATGGTTTGCCATGTCATGTTACCTACAGGTGATGTTATTTTCTTACGGATAGGGAAAAAAAAAGAGTGAGCGAGAGGTGTGTCAGAGGCTTAGTCTTAGATAAGACCTCGGCAGGGCCCCAAACACTGGTTAAATTTCTTCTCGAAGGAAAATCTTAGTCGGGGTCAGACTGAGATCCTGGGCCCTCCCGGGCGCCCCACCCTTCTGGGCTCAGGGCCCCTGCAGTGCGGTTGACAACCAGGATGCTGGGGAGCCGAGAGGGAACGGAAACATGGCTCGGATGTTCATCCCGTAGCACTGATGCCTGCCACTACCCTTCCCGGGGCACTCGGACATGCCGAGTGGCAGGAGATGCTGTCCAAGTGGCAACAGAAATGTCGCAACGCTGAGCAGCATCTGTGCCTTGAAAGACGGGGTGGTGGCTTTCGGAGAACATTTCTCCTCGTCCCACAGGCAGGCGAGAAAACATCAAAGGCACCCTCTGTCCAGAATAAACATTGGAACGACTTCCAAATTGGCCCCAGTCGCTCGACATCATTCATTGCCCTGCTTCCGGCTCCCCGCCAGTGAGCATGCGTTCCAAAAAATCACAACGCCGAAACCAGGCACGCCCCTGCGTCTATTACCAGGCTTGCGATTGGTTCAATTCTTCCATAAAAACATGTTTGTCCAAAAGAAGGGAAACGGTGCATCTACTCCATGCATGTAATAAACTGCAAGAAGTTTACCCCACATAGGTTTGCGGCACCGCGGAATTGTTCATGGGTCTATGTAGCAAACGATTCTCTGCCTTGACAATCATGTATACATATCAAGATTTCTATCACCATGGTAACGGGATTGATGACTTCTTGTTTTCCTCCAATAAAGACAGTTAATCACCTTCCAATGTATGTGGCCTGTTTCCTCCATTATGAGCAGATGTGGAGTGTCAGGATGGTTTCTCTGCCTTTCCCGCTGTCTCGGAAGTTTGGATTTGAGGGGAGGAGGTTGAATTAAGACCCCAGAAACTCATGGGGTTTCC